TCTCTCTATACAGCTGTGTTGACTAAAGTAACAACATACCTGCTGTGCAGACTGGCAAGAATGTGGGGCTTTGCTGATACGTTTGAGCTTAAACCTCCCATCTCACTTTCGTTTTTGCTTACGCAAGGAATCTACTCCCTTTTATCTCCTTGCTTTACTGTTTGTGGATCTAGTGTTTTGAGATTGTTATTCCACCATGTTCCGTTCACCATATTAGTTCCTAGGGTTGCCACAGCAAATGACACCAAAAAAGTGACTTATAAGAGTGGAAATGTATTATCTCGCAGTTCTGAGGGCCAGGCACCCTGAAATGAAGGTATCCACAGAGCCATGCTTTCTCTGAGCCCCAAGGGAGAATCTGTCCTTGCCCCTTCTAGTTTCTGGTTCTCCCAGCAAACCTTGGCATCCCTTGGCTTATAGCTGCCTCATGCCAATCTTTGCCTTGGTTGTCATATGCCTTCTTCCCTTTGTGTGTGTGTTTGAACTTCCTTCTCCTTTCTCTTATAAAGATACTAGTCATTGGATTTAAGATTCACTATAACCTGGTATGACGTCATTTTAACTACATCTGCAAAGACCCTATTTCTATGTAAGGTCACATTGTGAGTGATATGGTTTGGTTCTATGGCCCTGCCAAATCTCATTGTGAAATGTGATCTCCACTGTTGGAGGTGGGGCCTGGGGGGAGCCATCTGGGTCACGGGAGTGGATCCCTCATGACTTACTGCTGTCCTTGCGATAGTGAAGGAGCTCTGACAAGATCTGGTTGTTTCAGTGTGTAGCACCTCCCATCCTCCACTCTCTTTCTCTTGCTGCTGCTTTTGCCATGTGACATGCCCACTCCCCCTTCACCTTCCACCGCGAGTAAAGCTCCCTGAGGCCTCCATAGAAGCAGAGCAGATGCCAGCACCGAGCTTCCTGTGCAACCTGCAGAACCATGAGCCAACTAAACTTTTCTCTTTATAAATGACCCAGTCTCAAATATTTCTTTATAGCAATGCAAGACCAGCCTAACACAGCAAGGTTCTGGGTGGATATGACTTTTGGGGAGGCAAGATTCAACCCACTACACTCATCTCCTTCCTCCTAAGTTGTATATTCTTTGATTACTCTAGTGGAGATTACAACATGAATCTATAACTTTTTAAAGTCTCATGTAAATTAGATCTTACATTATTTCCCAGAGAGTATAGTGTACTAAGATCACTTTAACTTCATGTAGCCCCCTCCCGAATTTTGTGATCTTCTTGCCATGTATTTTATTTCTATAAATATTTTACAACTTCTAAGACATCTTATACAGTAAATATTCATTTAGATTTCCCCATGTGTGTCCTCCTTTTGTTACACTTCATTTCCTTTTTGACTTCTTGCTTCCATCTGCGATCATTTTCATTCTGCCTAATTATCTTTTTATTTTCCTTAGTGCAGATCCTGCTGGTGACACATCCTGTCAGCATCCAGAGAACGTCATTTTCCTGTCCTCATTTTTGAGGATCTTCTTCCCAGGTGTAGAATTCTAGTTGGGTGCTTCTTTTCTCTCAGACAGTAAATATATCATTCCATCATCCTCTGGCTTCCATCATTTCTACTGAGAAGTCATCTGTAAATGTTATTGTTGCTTCTTTAAAGGTAGTATTTTTTTTTCCCTCTGACTGTTTTTAAATTTTTCTCTGTCTTTGGATTTCTGCCCCAATATGCACAGGTGTAGTTTCCTTTGTATTCACCTTGCTAAAGATTCTTAAATGCTTTTTGCATCTATGGGTTAATGTTTTTCATCACTTTAAACTTCTTGTCTATTATACCTTCAAATATTTTACTACCCTTATTTTACTCATCTCCTTCTATGATTTCAACCATTTATATTCATAATTATTTACAACCTAAGGGCATGCTTATTACTCCACTTTCTTTATTTCCCTCTTTTCTTTCCCATCTCTGTACTCAGGCTTGACATTTCCTCATCTCCCTTTCTTCACTAATCTTCTCTTTGGGTTTGTCTAATATGTTGTCTAGCTAATCTACTTAGTTCTTAATTTCAGCCATTATGTTCATTTCCAGAATTTCTGTTTGATTCCATTTCATAAATCTAGTTTGACACCGAAATTCTCCATTTGTCCTCTGTTTTCCCGAGCAAGCTAATCAGCACTACTTTAAATTCCAGTTTGACACTTCTAATATCTAAAGGTCCTGTGTATCTGTTTCTCTTGTTTGTTTTTTCCTCTTGGTCCTTTGGTCAGTTGGTTTGTCTTCTAGTATCCCTAGTAATTTTTGACTGAATCCAGGACTTCATGAAAATTTCTGAGATGATTTGAGCCTCTGTTGATGCTGCTATCACCAGAAGAGATCACTTTAGTTTCTGGGAGGCAGTTAGGCTATGGACAAATTATATGAGTTGAATACGAGCTGATTTAAAGGTGGGCTTCATTCTTCTTTCTGGTTTTTCCTTCATCCTAGGGAGTAATCTTTCACTTATATTCACTGTTTCCAACTGAAAGTCTGTTTTTGTTGTTGTTGTTGTTGTTTTACCAGAATCCCTCCCCCTTGTCAGGTCCTGAACTCTCTGTTTTTGTCTTCCAGTTGCATGAGACCCACTCAAAGCTGTGCTCAGCCTCAGCCTCACGGCTGTGGTCTGTGAATCAGTAAATACCTCAATAAGAAAATCCACAAGAAATACTGGAATCACTTCGGTACACTTTCCCTCTAATGGTGATTCACTCACTCAAGTCTCAGCTGTCTTGGTGCCTCCTGGTGCCCTCAAATACAGATTTTGTTTGTTAAACCAGGTTTCCTAATTTTTCTCAGCTAGATGGCCAGTCTGATGTAAGCCAATTCCCCACACACGAAAACAGAACTTGACAGAGAGTTTTACACAGCATAAGAAAAAAGTGGCACAGTGGAATCGTTCTCAGAGCTCAGAATTATTCTTCAATAATTTCTCCAAAAACATTTATTATTTCAGCCCATTTTTATCAAGGATCTTCCCTATTCCAGGCATTATTTTAGGCCCTCAGAGATTGAGTGGTGAACATGATAAACACACTTCCTGCCCACATGAAACTTATCTTTGAATAACGGGAGCTGAGGACAGCAAAGAAAATGAGCAAGAAAAGTTAGGAGACTTGGCACAGAAATACTGATGATGGGCCAGGCATGGTGGCTCGCATCTGTAGTCCCAGCAGTTTGGGAGGCCGAGGCAGGAGGACCACTTAAGCCCAGGAGTTCAAGACCAGTTGGGCAACATAGCAAGACTCTGGTCTCTACAAATTTTGTTTTACAAAAAGAAATGTTGATAATGGGACTTGAACTATCGATGATTGAAGCGCATCATAAAGCTATTACAGCCTTTAAGAGCAGAACCAAATCCACAACCCCAAATGGACCAGTTCAAACTTTTCTTTCCCATCTGAAACCCAGTCCTATCCCCAGCGTTCCCACACGCACGTCTGTGGGGGCCTCAGGGAAGGCCATGGGGAGGGACGTGGCCTCTCCTTCCTTGCTCCTCTTCTCCCTGTTTTGGGCTCTATCTCCTCCAGGGATGGGGACGGGAGAAGGAATGTGCAGGGCCACCACTGTGGGGCTCACTGGCCCCTGCTGCACGTTCTCTCCGGCTGCTCCAGTGATCCTGTGCTTCTACCAGCTGCTTCTGCCTCTTCACTGAGGACCCACTTCAAAGAGGAGATGCCCCCAGGGACAAGAGTTGGAGGACTCTCTCCCTGGGACACCACACTTTGTGTAAGGCTGAAGGGCCACCCCTGCCTCCACAGCCTGCTTCTTACACAACCTGGGCAGCACTGGTGGGGTGTGGCAGCCGGCCATAGCTGGTCAGCTTCTGTCGTATTTTAGAAAGCTCTGTAGGGACAGGTCTGACCCAGAAGGTTAGCATTATTTTTAGAATGAGAAGTCGTTTCCGGCTTTGCCAGATTCAGAGCAACAAAGACATTCTACTCAACATCGTGTAATATGTCTTATTTTACAATGAAATATGCATATGTGTACTTGAATTTTTAAATAAAAATGTGAAATCACAATCAATATTATAATTAGCTGGTGGGTAGCAATGTTCCTGGAAAGTGATCAGGGCCATTTAAGAAGGCGAGAAGCTCGGGACTTCATTATGCCCTGTGGTGACAACAATTCATCATCAAATATTGTGCTGCTGTGAGAGTTGCCTGTGGCTGACCTGGGGGTGTGTGATGGGACCTGTGGGCAGGGCTGGTGAGAAAAAGATGCTTGCAGTGCCGGGCACACAGAGGAGATGGCTCCAGCAGTGGTGAGGGCTGGTGGTCGCCTGCTGCCTAGCACAGCCACTTCACAGGTTCAGAACCCAAAACCACAGCCCAGGATGCTGTCATTGTGTCTAAACAAGGAGCAGGCTGAGCCCACGATCCTGGCCCTGGAACAGTCCTTCTGCCTCCCAAGCAAAGGACAAGGTGGGCAGTGAACAGAGGGCAGGAGGCACAGAGGCCATGGGGATTAGAAACTGGCGAGTCCTGCGTCGTGCAGCAGGGGAAGGACCATGCTACAGGAAGAGTTTGCACCACGCGAAATAATTCCTAAGGGCTGGCTTCCTGCAGAGGGAGCCCGTGTCTTGAGGTTGCCGGGTGGTGCCCCAGCACCTCCCAGCAGGTGCTGGACGATGCCCCAGCAACCAAGGATGGCCCCAGGCACATCCCACCCACATCCCACCCGCCGGATGCCCATAGCCCTCCTTGCCTCCAGAAGCCAGCTGGGATCAGGCCCACCCCTACTCCCACCCCTGAGGTTCCACATGTGACAGGCTATAGCCCAGGTGTGAAAGGAGATTTGGGAGCTGGGCAATATCACCAGCAAACAAACACCCCTAATCATAACAGACGCCGCCTCTCAGCTACAAGGAAGGGGAGGCTGTGGGCCCTGGAACAACAAGGCCAGGAGGGATATAAAAGCCGGAGAGCCCCAAGAACCTCACACACTCCCACAGTCACACCTCCCCCAGCTCACCTCCTCCCCACCCCAGCATGGCCACGTCCACCATGTCCCTCTGCTCCAGCGCCTGCACTGACTCCTGGCAGGTGGACGACTGCCCAGAGAGCTGCTGCGAGCCCCCCTGCTATGCCCCCAGCTGCTGCGCCCCTGCCTCCTGCCTGACCCTGGTCTGTACCCCAGTGAGCTGTGTGTCCAGCCCCTGCTGCCAGGCGGCCTGTGAGCCCAATCCCTGCCAATCAGGCTGCACCAGCTCCTGCACACCCTCGTGCTGCCAGCAGTCTAGCTGCCAGCCGGCTTGCTGCACCTCCTCCCCGTGTCAGCAGGCCTACTGTGTGCCCGTCTGCTGCAAGCCCGTGTGCTGCAAGCCTGTGTGCTGTGTGCCCACCTGCTGTGGGGCTTCTTCATGCTGCCAGCAGTCTAGCTGCCAGCCGATCTGCTGCACCTCCTCCCCCTGCCAGCAGTCCTACTGTGTTCCCGTCTGCTGCAAGTCTGTCTGCTGCAAACCCATCTGCTGTGTGCCTGTCTGCTCTGGCACTTCCTCTCCATGCTGCCAGCAGTCTAGCTGCCAGCCGGCTTGCTGCACCACCTCCTGCTGCAGACCCTCCTCCTCCGTGTCCCTCCTCTGCCGCCCTGTGTGCAGGCCCATCTGCTGTGTGCCTGTGCCCTCCTGCTGTGCCCCCACCTCCTCCTGCCAGCCCAGCTGTTGCCGTCGAGCCTCCTGTGTGTCCCTCCTCTGCCGCCCCGCGTGCTCCCGCCCGGCCTGCTGAAGCCTCTCCTCGGGCCAGAAGTCCAGCTGCTGATGGCCATGTCCCCTAGGGCCAGCCAGGCTCAGGCCCCACCTCTCTTCCAGTTCTTGGAAGCCCCTGACCTCCCACCCCACCCAGCCTCAGCACAGCTCAACACAGAGAAGGAGCAGCCCCACCCACAGCTGCCCAGCCCAGGGGTGGGGTCTGAGATGCTCACTGGCTCCTCCCTGACCTCCCCCAGGGTGGGCGAGCCCTGACTACTCCTCATGGCGCCTCCTGGCTGAAGACCACGACCCTCTGCTGGTCGGGTATGGGCCCTCCTGACCCAGGTCTTGCACCCAGGAGTGTCACCCTCTGCCTCTGGGCACCAATAAAGCCTCTGCAGCCCCAGCTGACTCAGTGCTGACTGTCTGCACCCAGGGCGGGATGGGGCAGAGTGGGGCCTGGCCTGGCTCTGGGGGGCTGGGCCCTGTGGATCTCTTTACATCTCCAGCTGGGGGGATGTGGGGGGCTCTTGGGTGACACCTGGAAGCTCCTATCCACCTTGTGGCACGTTCTGCTGTCTGGCTCCCCTCCCAGGTCCTGTGGAGCCCAAAAGTTTTGCTCACTGACTGAATCCCACAGACACTACATGGCTCAGGCCAATGTCCCACTCACCGTGGGTAGAAGCAGCTCCTTCCCATGGCAAGGGTTGGGGCTATCCCAGGGGCTGGCAGGCTCCAGTTGTGCTGGGAGGTGGGAGACGGGCAGTGGGGGGCGGGTATGGAGGCTTGGGCTCCAGCTGCCCCGGTGCTCAGGAGTTCCACTCGGAGACAGCTCGGCCATCCTGGCCTCCTACGCACACTCACAGACACTCAGGACGCCCCCTGCTCCAACCCTGGGCTTGCTGCTGGGATGCAGAGCAGAGAACAGAGACGTGGCCTCCAGAGCTCCCTGTGCTGGGCTGGATGGGCGGAGGGCCCATGGGAACAGGAAGGTCTCAGGGTGCCGATGACAGAGGAGTCCCACGACAGTGTGGGAATGTGTCCAGACCAGAGAGCAAGAAGGAGGCCTCCTGGGGGCAGGTTCTTAGCTCCTCCCACGGGACAGGCAGACAGCCAGAGCCACACTGTCCCCTCCAGTCCTCACCCACGCCCCCTGCCCTGTGACCTGGGGCTGCAATGCTGCCCACTCTTCTTGCCTTAGGAGAACACAGTCGGGTTCTGAGGCCTCGGCCATACTCTGTGGACACAAAGGACCCCCACACCTGAGGGGCTGCATGTGTCAGCTCAGGCTGCTGTGACAAAGTCCACGGTCTGGGGGCTCGAGCCACACACATGGGGTCCCTCACAGTCCTGGGGCTGGAAATCGAGGCCCAGGTGTGGCAGGGCTGGTTCCCGAAGCCTCTCTCCTGGGCTTGAAGACACAGTCTCCTCCCTGTGTCCTCATGGGGCTGTCCCTCTGTGTGTGTCTCTGCCCTCATCTCCTCTTCTCACGAGGACACCAGTCATTGGATTAGGGCCCAACCATAGGACCTAATTTTAACTTAGGACTTCAACATGTGAATTCGGGGGAATCACAGGTCAGCCCATAATAGGGGGCTCTGGCTTTGACCCTTGAGGCAGGAGTGAGGGTGGCAGTGAGGCCACCTGTGCCTTGAAGACCCCAGTGGCGCCTGGCTGGGGCAGGCACTCCCTGTCCATAAACTGCAAGGATGGACATTTGGACAGGGACACGGCCCTCGGGGAAATTCTGCTCACGTGGACCCCTTCACCCACTGAACAACGCTGTCCAGAGACCTCAGACACCCACCAAATGGTTCCTGTTTAGGCGTCCTGTTGTCCCCAGTGCCTGGCTCCTAATGGGAATTCTCGCTGGTCCCGCCGCAGGAAGCATGGCTTACATCCAGACGGGGAAGGTGGGGATGGAGCGCAGGCCAGGCAACTGTGCTGGAAGAGACAGGCCACACAGGGATGGGTGCAGGGAAAGTGGGGGCCACAGGGCTGTCGAGGGGGTCAGGAGCGTCTTGCACAGGCTTCCTGGTATGGAGAGTGACCTTGGGCTTCAGGGTCCGGAGTACACACACTCACAGTGCTAGAAACCAACTCAGGATTTAGGAATGGGAGTTCTTGGAGACCTTGATGAGGGGCTTTCCAGTCATGTTCTGAGGGCAGGGGCATCCTGTGGTAGGCGGAGGGGGAACAAGCCCTGGGGAAGTTAAATGTGAAGGTAAATAATTTTTTCTCCAAAGATCTAACAGAACAAGGCAGGGGAGGAGCACAGTAGTGATGGCTTCCAGAAGGACTAACACACAGGGCTTGCCTTCTTTTACCAACTCAGATTCCCTCCAGCCAGAGAAGCAGCTACCAGAGGCTTGGTCAGAACATGTAAAGGTAAATGAACCAGTCACTGCCACCTGGGCAAAGGATATCTGTTGGGAAAACAATGGACACCCCAAAAAACCAGGGAGGAAGAGCTAAGAAATTAGACACTTTGGGGAATAAGGGTGTTGGAAGATTCCACATATTCTTGGGAGTCTACAAGACCCCCACGCATGCCCATGATGGGGTACAGAAAAGACCTGAGAAGCTCTCAGTGCTCACCTCTGGCTGAACTGCAGGCTCTGAGTAAGCAGGAAGTGAAGGGGAAGGCAGGAAGTGAAGGGGAAGGCAGGAAGTGAAGGGGAAGGCAGGAAGTGAAGGGGAAGGCAGGAAGTGAAGGGGAAGGAAGTGAAGGGGAAGGCAGGAAGTGAAGGGGAAGGCAGGAAGTGAAGGGGAAGGCAGGAAGTGAAGGGGAAGGCAGGAAGTGAAGGGGAAGGCAGAGTCACAAACCGCCCAGGTGAGCGCTCAGGGTGTGGACCAACACACAGAGCCCAGCTACAAAGACTGGGAAAAAAAACATCTTTTGACTCCAGGTGTTTAAGAAACCCTGTCAAATTACTATCTGCGCACTAAGCAAATGGAATAGTGACCCCCTTCATGACAAAGAGTATAGTCATTACTAAAATAGTTTAGGAAAGTCACTTAAAAACAAAACAAAAAACTACTAGCCATGCAACCAGCAACAACAAACCACAGGAAAGAGAGAGAATCTGCCATCCAGAATTATCAAATTATAATATTCTAAAGGTCAAGTTTTCAGCAAAAATGAGGCATGCAAAGAAGCAAGAATGTACCGTTCATTCACAGAAAAAAAAAAAAGGCCAATTAGTAAAAAATGTCCTTGAAGCAGCCCAGGATTGAATTTACTAGACAAAGTCTTTCCATTAACTCTCTTAAATATACTCAAAGAGCTAAAGGAAACCATGGCAAAAGAACAAAGAGAAGAAAACAACATCTCAACCAAGAGAGAATATCAATAAAGAGAGAGATTATAAAGAGGACTCAAATAGAACTTCTGGAGTTGAAAAGTATAACTGATACGAAAATTTTGCTAGAGAAGCCCCACAGCAGATTTGAGCAGACAGAAGGAAAAATTAGAGACCAGGTGGATAGGTCATGTGAAATACTCCAGTCTGAAGGGCATAAAAGCCAAAAGAGGCCGAGCATGATGGTTCACACCTGTAATCCCAGCACTTTGGGAGGCTGAGGAAGGCAGATTGTTTGAGGTTGAGAGTTTGAGAACAGCAAACAGAAAAATAAAATAAATTAATTAATAGCTGGGCGTGGTGCCTGTAATCTCAGCTACTCGGGAGCCTGAGGCAGGAGAATCACTTGAATTAGGGAAGCGGAGGTTACAGTGAGCCAAGATCATGCCACTGCACTCCAGCCTGAATGACAGAGTGAGACTCCATCTCAAAACAAACAGAAACAAAAGAATTTTAAAAATGAACAGAATTTAACTGGCCTGTAGGACAACATCAAACATACCAACAGCACACTTAACAGCAGGGTCAGAAGAAGAGCAGAGAGAGAATGGAGCACTCAAAAATATTTGAAGAAAAATGGTAGAGACAGAAAGTAAAATGGTGGTTGCCAGGGGCTTGTGGGGAGGAGGAATGTGGAGTTAGTGTTTGATGGGGACAGAGTTTCAGTTTTCCAAGATGAAAGTTACGAGGCCAGATGGTGGTGCTGACTGCACTGCATTATGAATGTGTTTAATATCACTGAACGGTACACTTAAAATGGGATAAATTTCCTGTGTGTTTTACTACAATACTTTTTTAAATATTTGAAGTAATAATGGCCAAAAACTTTCCAAATATGATGAAACTTATGAATCTACACATTCAAGAAGCTCCATGAGCTTCAAGTAGAATAAATTCAAAAAGATCCACACAGAAAGACAAAATTAAATTACTGAAAGCCAAAGACAAAAAGAGAATCTTGAGAGCAGGAGGAGAGAAGATTAACAGCCAATTTCTCATCAAAAACCATAAAGAAGAGAAGGCAATGGGATGTTGTACTTAAAGTACTGAAAGAGAAAACACTGTCCACCAAGAAGTCTATGTCCAGTGAAATGATTCTTCGAAACTAAAGGAGAAATTAGGACACTTCTGAATAAATAAATATTGAGAGAGTTCATTGCCAGTAGGCCTGCCCTACAAAAAATGACAGCTCGGGATGAAATCAAAGGGTACTAGACAGTAACTTGAAGCCATATTAAGAAATAAAGAGTCGGCCGGGCATGGTGGCTCAAGCCTGTAATCCCAGCACTTTGGGAGGCCAAGATGGGTGGATCACGAGGTCAGGAGATTGACACCATCCTGGCTAACATGGTGAAACCTCGTCTCTACTAAAAATACAAAAAATTAGCTGAGCTTGGTGGCGGGCGCCTGTAGTCCCAGCTACTCAGGAGGCTGAGGCAGGAGAATGGCGTGAACCCGGGAGGCGGAGCTTGCA